ACGAAACACTGGGCAGCCTGCAGCGGAGCGCAGGAACTTAACCACTCGGCCACGGGGCCAGCCCCCTGTGACTATATATTTTATAGAGAAATCTAGTAAGTCAATTTCTAGGAAAGTAACCTAAGGAAATAATCATGGGGGATCACCAAGTTGTATCTATAAGATAAATTATGATATAGTATACACTAGAATTCTATACATTTATTTAAAATACTATAAAATATTAAACGGTACGCAGGGTTTCATGCTATAGCATTAAATGTAAGCCGGTCAGAAAACAGTTACAAAATAATATGTATGATATCCACAAAACCTACCTGCAGCTGAACTGAATTGTGCCGAAGACCTTCCACAATAGAAAAAAATCTGTCAATTTTTCTCTCTTCTCCAGCTGTTGTTAAAGCTTCTAAAACTTCTTCAAGGCTATTGAAAATTTTTAAATAATTAATTAAATTGCAAACAGCAAATAACCCAAATGCCATAATCCAATCGCTTGATCTATTAAATTCCAGAGTCACTGCTCCTAGGTAACCAAGATTTTAAAAGTAGCTTACTGAGTACACAGCAAGTACCCAGCATTAACTATACGCTTTAGTTCATTTATTCCTCAGTATAACTCGATAATGATGTTTATTTATCAAAAATTTATATGGTGCTTACTACACATCACACACTATTTGAACCTGTTTACAAATATTAACTCTTTTTAATGTATATAATCCTATGATATAGGTATTATCCCATATTGTAGATTAGAAAATTGAGGCAGAAAAAGGTTAAGAAATTTGTCCAAGGACTCATATGTACTAAATGGTAGAACAAAGATCTGAAACCAGAGTCTTAGTGAGCACTATATAAATGCTCTGAACCAATACATTCTACTTCATCTTTAGTGTAAGTGAAGTTCTGGTAGCCAAAAATATATAGTAGTAAGGAACTGTAGTCAAATATAAAAAATAATAGTTATGCAAGAACTATACTTGCTACATCTTTAAAGAATAGTTGTATTAACAGTACCTAACATACTATAGAAGCTCACATAGTTTGTGGACACAGACATGTAGTCCCAAATGTTATTTACATCATTTTATCATTTTGATAACCTATTCTGAAGTCAAGAAATAAAAATAATACGGAAGTAGAGGAAGAGGAAAGAGAAGAGGAGGAAAAAGAGGATAAAGAAAAACAAGGGAGGGCAGTCCCATGGCCTAGGGGTTAAGTTCTGCATGCTTTGGTGTGGTGGCCCAGGTTCAGTTTCTGGGTACGGACCTACACAACTCCTGAGTGGCCATGCATGTTGGCAGCTCACACACAAAATAGAGGCAGATTGGCCACAGATGTTAGCTTAGGGCGAATCTTCCTCAGCAAAAAAAAAAAAAGAAAGAAAGAAAGAAAAAAGGAAAAGGAAGGGGAAGGAGAAAGGGAAAGGAGGAGGGAGAAGAAATAGGAAGTAGGGGAGGAAGGCGGGAAGCAGAGGAAGGAGGAGAAAGAAAAGAAGAAAGGGGGAGGGGGAGCACAGGAAGTATTTTGTGTGTCAACATTAAATCCACTCAGGTTTCTAAGTCAAAATTAATATAGCGTTTTTAAAATGGGAAAGGGAAAGTGCAGAAGCTGTATGCCTCACTGCGCATGCTGGGATTGCAGCAAGTACGGCCTCATCTACAGATGAACACTCTAGGTCCCTATGGGCCCAGACGGCCAGGGCTGAGTGGTGCCTGCGACTCCCCAACTAGTCCAAACCGCGCAGCTCAGCAGTCCCCACCCCAGCAGGGTCACCACAAGAACAATTTTCAAATGCATGCAGGAGGTTCCGCTTCTAGGGCTCTGTCTGCCCTCACAGGAGAAGGCTATTTCTGTCTGTTCTAGTCTTCATATCTTTATCCTTTTTAAAAGGCATTTTAAATAATGTTTAAAGACTTCCTTTGTAACAAGAACACCAATCTTCTTTAAAAAGAAAAAAGGTTTATTTTATAAAATAAAGGTTTTATCTTATAAAGGTTTTTTTAATAAACCTTATAAAAAAGGTTTATCATACAAAACTATCTTTTAATATGCATGGAATGGTCTTTTAGTTACAGCCCTAACAAATGTGGAAAATGTCTTTAAAATTTACAGTTTTAGTGTATACTTTTTGGTCGAGGACTATGTCCCTCAACCAGTAAAGTACTATTACATACTTTCTAAATCACTTTCTAAGTCTGCCTTACATATAGATTTTCCAATAGTATGTTGTTTACTTTTACAAGAGAATGTACGTTAAAAAATCACATAAGAGACAGAACCCATTTGTGTATTTTTCAAAGCCTTCATTTAGAATATGATGAAGAAATCAGTTTTTCATAGAAACATGTTAGCCCGTAACTACTACATCAATTAAGAGAAATACTCAAACATTTCCGTTCAGCCAATATGAATCTAAATCAGCTGCTTAAGTATACTTGACTTATTTACAGTAAATTCTAGTCTAAACTAGAATGGATAATGAAAACATTAAATGAATCAAACTGTATTAAATGAGTACGTAATTGGAGAAATAAGTTGAGAAGACTTACATGTTTTCCTCCCCTACAATGCAGACTGCAGAGAGGAGTTTAACCACATCTGTCATCATATTGGGGTGCTCAGGGTCGATTGCTTTGGCTAATAAAGAAAGACTCCTCTCTTCACTCATAATTCTTTCCAAGCCATACTATAACATTTTGGAAATAAGAGGTTAAATGTTAGTTGGTTGGGAAAATAGTGCCCTGAATAAAATGTAGTTAATAAAAAACGTTTATAGGATAATACATTTTTACACTTAGTAAAGCTGAAAAATATAAAGAATGTACAATATCCTAAAAAAAATTCATACGGTATTCACTTTACATCAAGAATTATGAGAATCAACCAAATACACATAAGCCCTCAAAAGTGATTTTACAACAATACAACTGATAATTATTAAGACAGATGAGTAGCCAACTGGAAAAAGGGAGAAGCAGCAAGGAACACTGAGATTTCCCAACGGGAATATACAAAATGAACAGTCAGATATTGAACCAGACACTGAGGCCACCAGGAACTTTCCTGGGGAGGCAGGTTGGTGACAGAGAGATCACCACAAGTAAATACATAGATCAGCACTGTCCCAGAGAAATATAACATGAACCACACGTGCACTATAAAGTTTTCAGGCAAAAAGTAAAATTAATTTTAATAAAATTAATCCAATACGTCTAAAATATTATCAACATGCAATCAATATGAAACGTTTATTGATGTTTTACTTTTCTTTCTAACTGTTCAAAATCTAGTGTGTATTTTATACTTACAGCACATCTCCATTCAGACTAGCCACATTTTAAGTGCTCAATAGCCACACGTGGCAACCACGTTATAAAGTGCAGGCCTAGACAGTAACACTTAGTTCATAAATGGGTGAAAGTTGAAAGATGATTTGGGCAGATATCATGTACAAACTGCCATAAGGAGCAGATGTATTCTAATCAGAACGATATTTTATCAAAAGAAAGACAATGCAGCTGTAAACACATTATTTTACAAATGGGATGATTTTGGATAAGGACGAAGTTGATTTGCTACTGCCAGGATGTCACATCCAATGAGAAGATAAGGAGTTATGTTAGTGACTTATTGTTTTGATATAAGGATGCATATGTCTCTTACAGCCCACTTGTAATCTATGAAAGATAAGTATCAAATAAGAGAGGATGAATAGATGGATAAAACAATTATTATTTATCCACCATGCATCCCAGAGAATCCTTCTAAAGAGAAATTGGTTGATTAGAATTATTACTAAGCACTAAAAAGGACCTTAATCTCAATTACAGACTTATGAACTATGGCTTAAACTCAAAATTAGCACTAGATATAAGTATCAAAGTTGGATCTATAACAAGCTTACACCCGACGCTTTGAGTGTTATGAAATCCTATTTAAAACTTTCCTATCTTGTACATGGCACTTATGTAAAGAAGCTGTCACACTGTGCTGAAATATTGCATTTGCTTAAAACCGCTATCTAAGGAAGACAGGTACGAAGATGGAAGTACAAGCAGAAGGGCCAAGGGCCCCAGGATATGATTTTTGGAGAGACTTCTCTGTCTTGTTGGTGATAGGGAAAAACCAGCCAGGAAATGCTCACATTTGTGATGCCCTGGGCTGTTTCATTACTGGAAACAAAGAACAAAAACGCAGGCATAGGGCCAGAGACTACAATATGCCTTAATAATCATTCTAGGGAATTCTCGGAGCCTTATAAAGTACCACTTAGATCCAATTTAAAAAGTCAGTCAGTCAATGCTTACCAAGCACCGAGGGGCTGCCTCTGTCCTAAGACACTTGAGGATTGAGGAAAGCTTGCCTCCACATTTCCTCTTCATTTCCCACCCACCTGGCTGTCCTTAGCCAGTACCTCCCCATCCTCCAGCCACTCAAGGCAATTCATACGTATCTTCTCCAAGTGGTACTACCTACCTTCTGTCAAGCCTTCCAGCCCTAAACCATGATGTGTAAAAAGTTGAATAGGAGCATTCTCTGATTTCATGGTTTTCACCATCATCCTGTGACCCAAAGCTCCATCATAGGCAGTGCTCTCTGATTTTGCTAACACAAAAGTGTGTAGCCCTCATTTTAAGACTGGAATGAGGCCAGATTACCACTACTCAGTATCTAGAACTAAAAACAGAATTGCTGCCTACTTGTACATAATTACTCTCATTCAATTATTTAAACAACGCAAAACAAAAACTGTTGAGTCTGTGAAAGAAATAGTCAACTTACCAAGGCTGGCATCTAAAGTGCATTAAATGAAGGCTCTTACAAGGTTAGAGAGGTGGTGACAAATTTTGGAGGGTCTAAGGATGTCTCTCTACTGAGTGTCAAAGATCCACTCTGGATTATATGAAAACTCATGTGTTCTAAACAGAGGACCAATGCCAGGTGCCATTTGCCTTCTACACAAGGCCTATTATTACCTAATAGACGGAATTCCAGACCATTGAAGATGTGTTAGGCAGGGGAGGGTTAACAGTTTAAATCCCTGTGTAGGATGTCCAACACTTACATGAACAGTATCATCTGTTCTATCTATCTTCTATCTACATCTACTGTCATCACTACACTGATGATGAACAGCCAACCCTGGTGAGTTACTCCCAGTAGCAGCGATAACGTGGGTAAAGGGCTGGGCTTCAGGAGGAAAGCACCTTTGCTGGGGGTACACGCCTCAAAGCAACACACAAAAAGTTAACTGATCAAACTGAAGCTCCTGTTCTAACTACCTTTTAATTTAAACAGATTAACTTTTCATCCTTTTATTTTCTTCCTAGCAAATATCCACAATCCCCTTCCACCAAAAAAATATTTAGCCCAATTTAGTATTATAAGAAATTTAATTTCATAGGACATTATCAACTTTGCGCATTATATTAATTATGTAATTACTAGTACCAAATAAGGTACCACATTTTTTTTTAATCTTAAAGCCTATATTTTTCATCATTCAATGAACTCTTGTAAACACTGCACATGAGGTATAGGAAAAACCATCAATGGGTCTTAGGAAAAAAATAAACTTTCGCGAAAATTTCAGACATTACAATACTAATTCCAAGGATCGGTAACTTTTTATTCTTATTTGCACAGGTGATAGCAATAAATGTAAATGGCAATATATTCCAACTCCAGGTATACAAACTATAAGCAACACAATATCTTATTATAAGAATAAACTACATTATATAACTAGAAGATAAATACACAGTTTACTCTCTCTCCAATTCAGTCTCAAACCGAGTATGAATATTATCTTCTATATACTGTCTCACTTTAACCATGATATGTTTCTTAAATTCTAATTATGATCTACATGCCCCTTTGGTTTGAAAAAATAGTTCCTAGGTTTTCCCTACCCTCAGCCTTTCCATGACTAATGAAATTTCCAATTTCTATATTCTCACTTTAGAAGGGGTCTCCTAAAGCAGAATTATGTACTCAGTGTGGAAAGAGCTCTCCCCTCTCACCAATTTCTGGTTCCTTTATTCATTTACTTTTAAAAGATTCTACAAAAGGCTACTTAACATATCTAAAATCTAATTCTCACAGAACAATGAGTTCAATATAGAAAGGACTAGTAATTTCTACATCAGATATTTTCTGTGAAAAACGTAACTGACTAGAGGGACATGGAGGTGAAAAATATTTCATTGGTTAAGAATAGAAAACTTAGGGGCTGGCGCGGTGGCACAGCAGTTAAGTTCACACATTCTGCTTCGACGGCCCAGGGTTCGCTGGTTCGGATCCCGAGTGCAAACCTACGCATTGCTTGTCAAGCCATGCTGTGGCAGGCATCACATGTATAAAGTAGAGGAAGATGGTCATGGACGTTAGCTCAGGGCCAGTCTCCCTCCACAAAAAGAGGAGGATTGGTGGCAGATGTTAACTCAGGGCTAATGTTCCTCAAAAAAAAAAAAAAAAAGAAAACTTAGCTCCAGAAAATGCTGAAAAACACATAAGTAACTTAATAAGACTTAAAGAGTTAGAAAATATAAATATCTGCTACATAAATGTGGAGCCACCCGGTGGCATAGTGGTTAAGTTCGCCCACTCCGCTTCAGCAGCCTGGGGTTCACAGGTTTGGATCCCAGGCTTGGACCTGTACACCAGTCACCAGGCCATGCTGTGGTGGTGACCCACATACAAAATACTGGAAGACTGGCACAGATGTCAGCTCAGGGACAATCTTCCTCAAGCAAAAAGAGGAAGACTGGCAATGGATGTTAGCTCAGGGCAAATATTCCTCACCAAAGGGGGGGGGAAGGAAAGAAATATAATTGTTAATAGTTTAAGTACCAGTACTTAAGTGTGTAGTCCTCTAAATGTTTACTTTAAAGCAAAATATTAAGAATTAAAATTACTCAGAAATATACAGATGGTTTTGGAATGAAACACAAATCACCACACTACCGTAAGTAAAACTTGCTCCCCTGTTGTCTAACAGCAACTAAAACACCTATCATTACTGCACACATCATGAGGCAGATGTGTTTAGATGTTGGAGCTAAAGACATGGCACAGGATAGAACTAATTTCTGCAATTAACCATATTAGAAAAAAAAAAAGAAAGAAACAGTGCAGATAAATCTAACTTCAGTAAAAGCTTAAAGTATTTCTTCCAATGTGTCATCTGTAAATATGCAAACTCTGCACATACGTCATATTATATTTGGTCTCAATATTCCCTGTATTAAGCATCACTGCTCCATTTCTGGGACCTGTTCATATCTCTTTACCTTAATTTCATTATAGATTTAACTTCTTAGACTATAAAAACCAACTCTTTCCAATTTCATGCTTTGGCAATAAGTATTACTGGAGATCACATTCTATAATCACGTATGATTTCTAAACGGATCCGTGCTATCCTTTTGAAAATTAAAAAAGAGAGGGAGAGAGGAAGGGGGAAAACAAAAAAGAGGAGAGAAAGGAAGGAAGAGAAGCATGGAGCAAGAGAGAATTAATCTACACATGAGGAGTTCAGCATCTGAAGAGGGTCTATTCATCACCAAGTTTCTCCTGTGGGGAGATAGTTGATTTGACACAAAACTAGAAATCAATAGAATATTTTTTTCCATTATGTACTGAACGACATATTAAAGTAATACATCACTTTGGAGCAAATTCTTTCTTACGCAATTCTAATCCACAAGCTCACTATAAGAACCGGTGAAGAACACATATAATCTGATTACCTATGTACATACCTGTGTATTCATCAAGGCCTTTAGACATTGTATGACTTTGTGTTGATTCTTCTTTACAATTTTTTCTTGTCTGCATTGGCATAAGACATCAGAGTGGAAATTATAATTGGACACGCAAATGTAGTTTAATTGAAAACAATAATTAGCAATACTTACATTTTGCCACTAATCAATTTTTCCAAAATGTCCAGTAATAATCCAAGCCCCTCATGTCCAAAGCTTTCCACCCAACTGAAAAACAGGAAAAAAAATAAATAAAGGTAATTATACGTTGTCGGTATTCTAGTTTGGAATATGACAATAATGCTACTATATATATTTGGCCCTTGTTATATTCTGATAATAAATACAATGTAAGAATAACACTGTGTACAAAATCATTCATGATTCATAATCTTAGTTGTGAAAGGAGCAAAGTTAGGATAAGCCAGTGGTGTGCTTAACCCAGCTTGCACTTGCCTTGTGAGAGCTAACTCTGTGCCCATTTCTTCCATGCTCCATCTCCAGTGAGATCATGTTAGTAGCTAAAAATCTGCCACGTTGAAAGTAGATCACAGAAATCAGCAAATGCTGCCAATCAGAGCGCCTCCCCCACCCAGAGAGCTGGTTGTTAAACATTTGCCAGCACACCACCAGATAAGCCTCACCTTGGACAGTTCCAAAGAGCAGAAAGTGGGCATGTGAGTAAGACTTAAAGACGACTCAGATCTACGTAAAGAAAAAGGGGGCTGAAAAAATTAATCAAAGGATTGAAAAGGGATGTTTTAGGAGAAGTGCCCAAACCATTAAAATGCATCCTTATAAGTCTTAATGATTTCCTAAATTTCAAAGTTCAAGTGGTTTTTTAAAAAAAGAGCTTCATTGCTTTTTAAACAAATATTTTCATCTTGATCAAACTGCCTCTATTACAGAAACCCAATGATGCAAGCACAGTACTGTATGCCATTAAGATGTCACTGCCATTAGACAACAGCTCATTTGATTATAGGAAAACTATCCTAATAAAAATACTACTTTTTTCCAGTTGTGTTTGGAAAACCTAGGACAATAATAAAATAGTAACAATCTGTCTTCAAAAAAGTAGGGGAAAGGCCTAGTGGTTAAATTCAGCATGTTCTGTTTCAGTAGCCCAGGTTCAGTTCCCAGGCGTGGACCTATACTGCTTGTCAGTGGCCATGCTGTGGCAGCTGTATGTGTCCCACATACAAAATACAGGACGATTGGTATGGATGTTAGCTCACAGCAAATCTTCCTCAGCAAAAAAAAAAGTGGGGGAAAGAAAAAGATATATGTTTGCCTATTTCACTGTATATACCTGTTTGTATATACATTTGTTCATATGCATGATTTTATGTGTATGTGAAGCTTTTGAAAATGGAATGCTAAAAACAAAATTTCATCCAGTAATCAAAATCAGGACATTATAAAGAATAAATAAAAAGTTTAAGTCACATATCAGTATATAATACCATTTTCTCACTTAAGATACAATAACATTTCCCATGAAAATGAGCCTAAAAACCAAATGCAACATATTTGCATGAAAAATTAAAATATCGTTTAAAAAATGCATCTTCATTTGTATACTTCTGTGAACACAGCTTAACTGCCTACAAATATTCCAAATTTGATTTTACACCCCCACCAAAACAAAGCAATTTGCCATTTAGATTGGCAGACTCTTGTCAGACTATTTTATTCATCTCTTCTCTGTGAAAACCACTAATTCAAGAACATACTTAAACAGGAAAAGCACTACCCTGTAAAAGAAAAGACTGAAGATCACTATTACAGTTAAGGGAGGGAAAAGAGTTAAATAGAAGCTGATGTTTTCAAACCAAGATGCTACTTCAAAAGCGAACAGTTTACTCTCCACTATCAGCAACAGACAGATTACCTGTAGGCATTTCAAATCTTGCTTTCATGTTTCATGAAAACACCTACAGCATCCCGCTTAACTGTTTGCCTTGTTGACATCCTATTCTGTATTTATTCTTATTTCACATGCAGCAGGGAAGCTTGAAATCAAACACATAAAGAGTAATTTGAGAGTTTTACTTGGGCTGGCACCAAGGTGCCTGGACAAGACACAGATCGTCAGGCCCTCCTGTGTTAGTATCTCACAGTGGGGCTTCAAAATTTTGTTTGAAGTGGATTTTCACCCATCTCTATATTCAAAAGTATATCCATAAAGATATTCTAAAGCTAATAGAAATGGTTTAGGATTATTCATACTGCTATCACCTTAAATCATTGCAGAAAATAAAGTTATTACTCCTAAAATCACCTTATGCTAAAATATACAAAGTAATTTAAAATGATGTCAATATAACAAAGACACTTTGTTGCACTTAATATGCTTATGGTGGAACCCACTAGAAA